TCGACTGGCTTTCGAGCAAGGGAACCTTTACCTTTACTATCCAGCTCTGAGTCTCTCGAAAGTTATTATAATTGTCCTAGTAGGGCTGCATTACCCAATGTGTAAAAGAGTTAGGGTTTTGCCAGAGACCACTGCCAGGTCATAAGAACATAAGAGACGCCAATGTTGGATCAGGCCAAAGGCCCATCCAGTCCAACACTCTGTGTCACACAGTGGCCAGAAATACCAGTGCCATCAGGAGGTCCAGCAGTGGGGCCAGGACATTAGAAGCCCTCCCACTGTTGACCCCCCCCCCAAGCACCAAGAAGACAGAGCATCACTTGCCCCAGAGCCCCTAGCTATACCTTGTGGCTAATAGCCACTGATGGACCTCTGCTCCATATGCTTATCTAATTCCCTTTTGAAGCCGTCCATGCTTGTAGCACCCACCACTTCCTGTGGCAGTGAATTCCATGTGTTAATCACTCTTTGGGTGAAGAAGTACTTCCTTTTATCCGTTCTAACCCGACCGCTCAGCAATTTCATGGAGTGCCCACGGGTTCTTGTATTGTGAGAAAGGGAGAAAAGTACCTCTTTCTCTACCTGCTCTTTCCCATGCATAATCTTATAAACCTCGATCATGTCACCCCTCAGTCGTCTTTTCTCCAAGCTAAAGAGCCCTAAGCGCTTTAACCTTTCCTCATAGGGAAAGTGTTCCAACCCTTTTATCATTCGAGTTGCCCTTTTCTGCACTTTTTCCAAAGCTATAATATCTTTTTTAAGGTGTGGTGCCCAGAACTGCACACAGTATTCCAAATGAGGTCTCACCATTGATTTATATAGGGGCATTATTATATTGGCTGATCTGTTTTCAATACCCTTCCTAATAATCCCCAGCATAGCATTTGCCTTCTTTATTGCAGTCACACACTGTCTCGACATTTTCAGTGAGTTATCTACTACAACTCCAAGATCTCTCTCTTGATCAGTCTCTGCCAATTCAGACCCCATCAACGTGTATTTATATTTAGGATTTTTGGCCACATTGAACCCCATTTGCCATGTTGATGCCCACGCGCCCATCTTTGACAGGTCCCTTTGGAGTGCCTCACAATCCTCACTGGTTTTCACCACCCTGAACAACCGTATCATCCGCAAATTTAGCCACTGCTTACTCCCAACTCCAAATCATTAATGAACAAGGTAAAAAGTAGTGGACCAAGTACTGATCCCTGCAGTACCCCACAGCTTACCCCCCTCCACTGAGAGGACTGCCCATTTATACTCACTCTCTGTTTTCTATTAATTAGCCAGTTTTTGATATTACAAATACATGCCGAAACCAGTCTTAAAGCATTCTACCATCCATTAGAAGAAGTCTGAAAACAGGAGTATTTACAAGTAGGGTATCCAAAGGACTCACCAAAGAGAACTCCATATCCCCATTCTATCTCCCTAATTCCCCCCTCCCTCCTCATCACAGTCCCAACAAGTCTGCTCCGTTGAAAGGTCATTGTATAAAAGTATCAACATGATACTCGACCAGGAGAAGCTTGACCCACTCAGGCAACTGAGAAGCTATAAGGAACTCAGGTGTATTATAAGGATGGGGGGGGGACAACACACCCACCGAGCATCTTGGGTTATACAGCTCCTCTTGACGCTGAGAATTCTGGCACAGTTACAGCACGGGGAGAGAGAGAGAGTGAACACAGTGAACACAGAAGCAGCTGTTCTTATCATATTTTGGTGGCTGGAGCTCCCCCTTGGTGCACCAGAGGGGAGAGAGAGAAAGAGGCTGCAAAAACCTACACAGAGCCAGATCGGGCTGGGGGCACAGCATCACAGGCAACTTTCCCACTCCTCCTTTGTTAAATCTTCATTTTCTTTTTCTTGCCCCCACCTGGGCTTCAATACTCCTCCCCTCTTCACTGGATTACACAGCCAGCCACTGCCTTGTATCACTTTCGTTTTCTCTATGCTTTTTTTAAGTGCATTTTTTTTCTAGCAAAGGGCTCCTCGCACACACTGGCCTGAAATCTCCCTCCCCCTCAGGATCCAGAGAAACTCACAAGCAAGAGCTCAGCTTTCTGGCACTGCAAATAGTAAGAAACCTGATTAGAAGATATATATTGTTTTTAATTCACAGTTTTTCCTACTCCTCTCCCTTTCTCTATCTGTCCATACATACACACACACACTCCACCTTTCTTTCTGCTTTGGTGTTCAAAATAAAGGGGAAGGAGGGGGTGGCCACAGGAGGAGGGAACTCACCTTGTTCCCCAAGGATTTCCACATTTACAACACAAAAGCTCACCAGAAGAAGCAGAAGTTGTGCAGCCAGGAGGAGCAAAACTTTAGAGCTGGCACATAGCACCCTCTGCCAACTGCCATTGCAGGAAGCATACTATGCTTGCAGCTTAAAAAAAAAAGCTCCAAGATCAAACGGCTTTTGGGTAGAGGACTCTGAAACACCCCCCCCACACACACACACACACACTGTAGGGAAGCTAAGGCTTGACTCCTGATAAGAGATAAAAGAGGCATTTCTCACCACCCAAGCAAGAAATAGGCGACGCTGGAGAAGGAAAGAGCTGACGCCAGAGGCAAGAAGGAGGTACACAGAGCAGGCTTTTGGCGAGGGAGGGGAGGGCAGGGGGCGGGGCAGGCTCAGAAGCCAGCCAGAACTACGTTCCAGTGCGTTCCTGCCCAAAAATAGCCCTGGGACTCCAAACTAAAAGAAGTGATATATCACAAAGAGGCACAGATATTTGATATGATGTGGAAGATCTGACAGGAAGACTATTCTTCAGGGATATGTTAAATGTAGCAAAGTCCCAAAGAGTGTAACCTTAGTAAAAATATAACAAGTTAAAAATCCATTCTAGTTAAATCACAATATTAACATTATTGGCGGAAGGCATTTTGCACATACTATTTGATCTCCTACACATATGGGTTTACCCTTATAAAATCATGTTAATGTAGAGTTGCTGATACATATTAGCCTTGATGGACCAAGGGTTTAATTCGGTACTAGTCACTGAACTTTTCAATAGAGAGGAGGCGGGGTCAGTGGGGCCACAGTCATTGTAAGGACATTGCGGAGGACCCTGCGCTTGTCTGCTTTGTTCTCTTTACCCTTCCCCCCCAAGAGCCTTCTTTCTCTCTCTCACGTGGGAGGGCTTCTGGAGTTCTGGCCCTGCTGGTGGACTTCCTGGTGGCCCCTGGGGTTTGGCCACTGTGTGGCACAGTATTGGACTGTATAGGCCACTGGCCTGATCCAACATGGCTTCTCTTATGTTCTTATGTCTGGGGCAGTGATGCTCTGTCTTCTTGGTGCTTGGGGGGGGGGCAACATTGGGAGGGCTTCTGGAGTTCTGGCCCTGCTGGTGGACTTCCTGGTGGCCCCTGGGGTTTGGCCACTGTGTGGCACAGTATTGGACTGTATAGGCCACTGGCCTGATCCAACATGGCTTCTCTTATGTTCTTATGAGAATAGGGCCAGGGCTTTCTCTGTAAATGTGTCAATTAAAACACGGATGAAAATGCCCACTTTAGGGGTTGGAAGATGTAATGATTCCTTGTTTTATATGTGTGTGTGTGTCTCTTTAAAAGTTTGGTTGCATGGCTGAGATATATTAGAGTGGTTGAAGAGACAAGAGTGGTGTGATTGGTGATTGACAGAGAGGGGGAGGGGTTTTGGAAGTGGTTCTGAGTGGATGAATATGTATGTCAAGAGTGACAGTTACAGGTTTGACAGTTGATGAAGACAGTTGATAAGAGTTCGTTCTGAGGTCTGGGAGAGAGGCAGTCTTGTGTGTGATATAAGAGAGTTCTGGTCTGTGTATGAGAAGAAAAGAGACAAGCGATTCGGTGTTGAAACAGTTATAAGCTGAAGCTGAGTGTCTAGGAAACAGTAAAGTTAATGAGTTACAAAGTTACCTGAAAGATCCCTGTCAGTAAGGGAGCAGATCTTGTGTGAGACACCAAGCAATTGTTCAAAATATTCACATTACTGGTTACATGGTTCTACCCTTTTATTTATGAATTATTTGAATAAATCTTCATTTATTTAAGTATATCAGCTCTGAAAGAAATACTTCCCAGGACCACATAGTTCCCCATAAGCCTTACACTCGACCTACCTACCCAGTAAAGAGCCAAAGTGAAGTAAAAAGGTTTGGAAAGCCTTAAAATTTCCTGGTGGCAGCCAGATATACCCAGTAGAACAAAACATAAAGTACACTTTTAAAGAGAAACCAGACCTCCCCAGATAAGGGGTCGTCACAGAAGATAAGGAATATTCCTTGTGAGTAGCAATGATCACAGCTTAAATAGTAGGGTATTTAAAATGAGATCTGCCATACTGATCACTTGTTCGAAGTACTCAGTCAGGAGATATGTCCTCTTTTTTGCTTTTCAAAATATGGTAACCCCAGAGGAGAGTTTTTGGTGTGGGAGTACATCAGGTACAACGTGGCTGTGTGTGAGGCGATGACCACACTTCTGGTAACATGGGGGTGTGGCCTAATAGGCTAATGAACTGTGCTGTCAGGGATGTGGCCTAATGCTAATGAGTTTCTGCTGTTGGGTGTGGCCTATTATGCTAATGAGTTCCTGCTGGGCTTTTTCTACAAAAAGAGCCCTGCTTTTCCACCAGCAGAAAAGCTGGTTGGATCCAACCTAGGGTTTTTGTAATACTTAGTATGTCTAGCATTTCCCTCACACTCAGCATGGCTATGGTTCATTGGTAGATTATCTGCTAAGCATATGGTTAAAAAGAGATCAGGTACTAGGTGATAAAGACGTCCACCTGAGACCCGGGAAAGCCATTGACAATCTGAGCAGGCAATACTGACCCAGAGAGACTAATGATCTGATGCTAGGCAGCTTCATGCCTGGTATATCCTTCTTTTCCATTTCCCCCTTTCATTCTTACAGCAGCCTTATACTGAATGGTTTGTTCAGTGTTGTTTTTTATATTGATATTTTGTGATTTTAAGATATTGTTCATATTTGTAAGATGCCGAGACCCAGATCTCCATAAATAAATAAATATGAAGACCATTTGAGGTAGGTTAGGCTGTCCCAAGGTCATTCAACGAGTTTCCATGGCTGAGTAGGGCTCTGAACTCAATCTTCCAAGTCCTTGTCTGACATTTTTGAACACTGAGGAAAGCAGTTCAAGAGCCCGCAGGGGCCTGGTTTTGGTCAAGACCATCACAGAACAGGGGCTGCCTTCCTCTGTGCCCTTTTCCCCACTAGAAATAGCACCTAGGGGGCCTGTCAGGAAATATACCCCCTCTCTGCTGTTTTGGGTCAGAAACATACTGTGGGGGGGGGGATAGTAGGAGTCCCTCCTCCCCCTGCACCATGGTGGTCCCAACCAGAATCAGCCTGTATGTGGAGGTGCATCCCCAGGACAAACTTGGGAATAGTGTTTCATCTAGTTTGGCCCTCAGTCTATGCTGGAATTAACATTTCATGGATGTTTTTGTTCAGTTTCGGAGTCTAAGGGCACAACTAGATGAGATGCTGTCCCAGGGTTTGCCCCAGGAGGCGTCTCCATTTTGTAGTGCCAGGGAACACTGTTTAAGAGCACTGCAGGAGCCTAATTCTAGTTGGAACCACCGTAGCATGGGGGGAGAGGCTCCTGCACCATTTTTCCAACTTGAAATGGTACCAGAGGGGTGTATTTGCCAACACATACCTCCAGCACTGATTTGGGTCAGAAAAACTGTGGGTGGGGAGGCAGGAGCCTGTCATCCCCCTATGCCACAGTGGTCCCAACTGTGGCACTTTTAGAAGGCTTTCCCTGGCAGCACAAGATGGAAGAGTGTCCATGGGGTGAACTCAGGACACCATCTTGTTTATTTGTGCCCTGAAAAACCTCAAGGGTAATAAGGAAATTACATTTGTTACAAATTAAATTTCATAGGAAAACTAATCCAGGATGAGCCCAAATTTAGAGTTATGGTAATCTTACTAAATCTCAGATCAGGTACTAAAATCTCTTACTATCTGAGGAACATCTCAATTAAATCAAGCTGAATAATTAACACAGCAAGGAATTACAACACTATAAGGCATGATACAAATAAGACAGAGGAACAAGGTCACTTTATACAACCACCTTTATTTCTCAAGTGTGGCCCCCATCTGGAGATAACTAAATCTGCAGATCGGGGCCACACTGACACTAAACACATTTTCCTTCAAGCTTTGCAAAAAAAAATCTGACATCCTAAAAAATGCATTGGTAGATTGTTAATTTCCTCAGAGTTAGGGGGTTTTATGATTGCCATACAATGGTGTTGCCATACAAATTCTTATAATTGGTGGACCTGTATAAAAATCCAAACATTCTGAAAATCAGTTTTGACACACATAAAAACTATAACCAGTTACACAATACCAGAAAATCCCCAGTCAGTTTTATTAAACCTTTGGCAAGACATAAACATCCCCAAATAATGTTGTGAGCTTATTTCCATACTTCTGTTAGTTGTGAATAATGTAATAGATACATATTGGGAAATGGCAAACCTCCCTTCAATAGACTCTTGGAATTCTAAAATTTGGGAATATGTCATAATGGATAAAATAATGGAAGACATTCAAAGATCACAAAACCCCTTGTCTAACTCTGGTACACCTTTTTGGAAAAATGTTGTTTTGACCGAGAAAATCCCAATTCATTTGAAAATAATAGAAAAAGGCCCCGGTCACACGGGCAGGAAACTGCGGGGGAGAAGCATGGCTGTTTGCCCTGGGGCAAACTACTGCGCGGTTACGCGATCAGACCTCCCGTGGAGGTCCTGTGGAGGTACCGTGGAGGTTCCATGGCAAGGGAGAGGTGCTGATCACAGGACAAGCCGGCGCGCAACGAAGAAGTTTTTGTGTGTACACGACAAATGCGCATGCTCCTCGGAGGTACTAGTTTTTTGCCACGCAGTTTCGGCTGGAAGCCTCGGTTGAGCCACGGGAGTGCTACGCTTCCCAGATGTGCTGGTGAGATCGCGCCCGGAAACTCCGCCTGTTTTCCGTCTCACTTGTGTGGCTTCTGTTCCGTGTGACCGCAGCCATAGTAAAGTTATTGCCCTACTATAGAATGAGCATTAATATTGTAAACACATATATAGTGATGAAGTGAAATGTAGTGAACCTTATTTGTTTATACTTGTTCTATTACTGATGTATATATATATATTGAAATGTTCAATAAAATATTATTTTTTAAGAAATCTTATAATGATTTTCCCAGGTACCTGGTGGGATGGAATTATCTGATATATTTAAAGGCCTACCTTGTAGGTCGGAAACCAATCTCCAGAACAATGCTGAGTTTGCTGCCTTTCTGAGTTCCTCCCAGGATAACTTAATATCTTC